CCCAAAGTGTGGGTTTACCTCTACTATAATCTGTGAGAGTTTAGCCCCCAAGATTGACTACAGTAGAGAGGTTATCAATAGAAGGGGGACCCCAAGGTGCACAGCAGAGGCTACATAGTGCTCTTTCTGTAATGATTATATTTGTTAGCCATCAAAACAATACGCATTGCAATCTGGTAAAGCAGAGAGACCAGTACAAAATGCACAATATTTGCATTACTTACATCATCCCTTGTGGAAAAACCTGAAGTGTTAGTCCTCACCGGCACCATCATCATCACCACTAGTGGTCCTCATCCTAGAGTCTCCCACCCTGAGGCACACAGAGTGTGATACAGCCTTTATAATGTCTTATGCTGACACTGAGTGGGGTTCATACATATTTATGAAGGTTTTAACCCCTTTTCCTTATTTGAACTTCCATGCCCCACTAATGCTCATTAACATTTATGTCATGTTATCACCATAGGAACAGGCAATTACCTTAAGGAAGTCTCCAACATTTCACTATGCCCACCAATGGTCATCTTGTGGTGTCTACTGATCTCTTGTAGGTATTAGTATCCAAACTCAGCAGTTATTTTCAAAACATCAGCATATCACAAACAGAAACAGAAGCTCAGCAGGTTTACTATTGACTTACTTATGGTAATTTATCCTAAATCCTAAAGTCTAATTTTGCTAGGCTAAATATTTTACAAGCCTGGGGATTGTAGGTCTTGTAATTTCACCTCTATATCCTAAATATACCTGATACCTTTTATCCTTGGCTACACATGCCCACCAGACAGAGCTTCAACTCTTGTTCTTACATTTCTAGCCTAATTTCATGCACAGATTGTGTATGATGATAAGATTTTGATGATAATTTTAACTTATATAGCCCCATTCATCTGAAAATTTCAAAGCATTTTACATTTATATGATAATTAAACATCATAGTTTTTCTGTGTGGTAGGTAATACTCATTTTAACCTTGGAGCAACAAAGATTACAGTGAGATTTTCAAAAGAGCTCAGAACCCAAAACTCAGGCCAGATTTTCAAAAGCCATTAAACATTAAGCAGCCTGATTTGTATGAGTCCAGCACTGTGGGTGTGGAACACTTTTGAAACTCTGGAAATTAGCTATGTACCTAAATGGAAGCTGATCCTGATGTGAAAAACTGATCTCAAATGCTGGGGGTGGGCTCTTTGGAAAATCTGACCCTAATTACTAGCCTAAGATCCCACAGTGGAACAGGAACACAAGAATGAAGAGATTCCCTAACTCCTGCACTCCCTTCTCCTCCTCACACCACGAGAGCACAGAATTTGTTAAAGAAAACTCATCATTGTCCATAGCTGTTATAACCAAATCAGCAGCAAATGATAAATTAAATGAAAAGATCTGGACCTTATCAGCTTATTGTTTTTTTGAAGGAAAATGCATATGGTAATATGCAGTCCTATTGCTTTGTGGATAAAAACTGCAGATACAGGAATTTATGTGAACATCTAGAACAGGAAGAAGGCTTTTTTGAAATTATAAATATCGGCACTCATCACTGTATGCAAGTAGGTAATTAGGGTAATTATTCCCAATTAGCAGCTGCAAACCCTGCAGATGGGAATTTCAGGGACTGATAACTATTGTAAAAGTCATTTTTGCAAGCTGTAAAACCACTTTAACATTTTGGAACGCATACATTTAATACCTCCTACATGATCTGTAACAGATTTTTGTTAGCATTTCAAAATAATAAAAAAAGAGAAATATGTTCATGCAGTATTATAGCCCTGTTGCTGTGCTGTGGTTCAGGACATGTTGGCATCTGAGAGAGGCTGAATTTTTTTAAAAAATTCAGGTGTTTAACCTACAGTATGATTGTACAAAGAGCTGAAGTGAATCTTGAACCTGCTCATACTGAAGCTGAGCTTGAGTATTGCCATGTTTTTCAAATCTTGTAGGAAGGAGTTCACAGGGGGCTGATGCAGTGTCCTTTGAAGTCAATGGAAAGACTCCAATTGTCTTCTCTGGGCCTTGTATCTTGTCCCATGTGAGGAAATTTGTACCCCACACTAAAACATGTTTCCGTTGAGCCACTAGGCAACATCCCTCCTTCTACCCAAGATCCAGAAACTCCCACTCACAGTTGCCATTTGCTACGGGGTTAGTGGCCTCTTCTCTCTCCTGGATCTTCCAGAATTTTTTTCCTTTTTGAGGACTGGACTACCAATCAACTTCTTTCAGTCACCAGGATCTTTGGTTGGCCAGTAAGGGCTCTTAATGTAAAAGGGGCAGAGTGGTTTTGGGTGTACTTGTGTGCTCTCTCAGTTATATTACAAGCAAGAATAATTTGGCGGAGGGCTTTTTCTGATTCCAGTGTCCTTGTGAACTTAGCTGCAAAACCAACTTTACCTGTATCAGGTCATGTAGCCATACAAATCTAATCAGCCCAAACAGGATGAAATATTAATGTGCCTATGGTGGAAAGCTTGTCCTGGAAAAGCTGTTTACCAGCTTTCTAGCTAGAACTGCCCTTAGGATGAAATTGCAAACTTTAAACATTCGTAACTTTACAAACAAGGCTTGAGTTGAGCTTGAGTCACAAATAAGAATCTCAAAATATAAACTTGTTTTTAATGTGTTCAGCTTTCAGCCATTTTTGAGTTATAGAAGTACAGAATTTCAGATTGGAGCATATGGGGAAAGTAGGCTTTTTCTTACTTGAATTACTCAAAAACAACTGAACTGATTTTTCTCACACTTTTTTTTAAAAAATCATCTTAGAGCTGAGACAAAGCAGTGAAAATCTCAGAGCAAAATCAAGTTGTTACAATAAGTTATGGACACTTGGAAAAGTGTGTTTAGACCAGAGGCTGCAATTCATCCTTAATATAGGAAATTGAGAAATGAAATAAAGCACATAGGGACCCACTTGTCTGCCAGTAACCAGAATGTTTTTCAGTTACTTGAACCTTGTTCATAGCCATGCCAGCATCCGAACACTAGCAACAAAATAAAAGGTATAAGTAAGTTTGTTTGGTATCAAGTATTTCATCATAATGAATTTACTGGTCTAATTCTTTAGCAATATATCATTCAGTCTTTGGCAGTCAAGAGAATTGCCAGTTGTGTTGTAATAAAGTTTAAGAAAAATTATTTTTCAAAATGTTAAGGATTTCCATCTGTTACACTGACATTGCTTGCAGATATTCTTGAGTTCTCAGCAAACCTTGGAAATCCTTCCCCACAGAGAACTTCCATATGTGTTTGGTTTTAAAAGGAAAATGTGGGTGATTTATTGTATCTAGAGATCTCAAGCCTGGGGAGAAATGATCACCCTCTTCTCTTAGCTTCCCACCACCTCCTTCCAAAATCCAAATCTGGCTAACTTTAAGATTTGTTCCAGTGCTTCAGACGGCAACTTTTTGTTTTATTTGTTATTCTTCCTTCTTGCTGCATCTTTTCTCTCCTCTCTTTCAGTGCCGGTGTTTTCCTTGTATTTTTTCTTCTTTTAACATACTTCAGAGTATATTTTTCTCTAATACAATTTCTCTCTTTTCAAGCTGTTTTTCTTTTCTTATTTGCGCTTGCTCTCCCTATCAGGCATTAAATTCGTTAGTCTCTAAGGTGCCACAAGTACTCCTGTTCTTTTTGCAGATACAGACTAACACGGCTGCTACTATGAAACCTGTTTAGAGTGTGTGTGTGTCTCTCTCTGTCTTTGGCTCAGCGTCTCCCTCCCACTCACTCACTCTCTCTTCCTCCCCTGGTTCGTCCTCTTTTTTCATTTCCCCCTTGACCTTCTTTGGATGGGGTCCACAGCACAAGTCCTGCTCACCCTAAATGTGGGTTATGAGTGCATTTTGGAGGGTGAGGAGCTGAGAAAATAAGTTAGTGTCACTCTCCATGGATCTGATGCAAGGCCTGTTGAAGTCAATGGGAATCTTTCCATTGAGCTGAATGGACTTTGGATCAGCCCCAAATGTGTTTAGTTTGACAGACTTGACTAGACCTACTAACTTTTCAGAATCTCCACTATAGATTCTTACCTTGCAATCCTCCAGCTTGATAGGGTATCTATCTATCTATCTATCTATCTATCTATCTATATATTTAATTGTTATATATAATATGTGAAGGCATTATGCTGATAAAGGGTTTGATCTTCCAAGGTGCTGAGCTCTCTGGTCCAGATCTAGCAAAGCACCTATGTATGCCCTTAATTTTAACCATGTGAGATTCTGCATGCCTATATCATAGCTTGAAACAGCACTGCTTCCAATTCTGAGTTTACATTGGGTAGAGACTTCATCTCAAGTTGAATTACTTGGAAGCTTTGTGATGCAGAAAGTTATGAGCATGTAGCCATCAAACTCATTTCCACTTGTTTCCTAAGTCAGAATTTGAACCTAGATCTCCTGATGTACAAAGCTAGTGAGGAGTGATGGATTGTCTAGTAACTAAACATAATGAGAATTTAACTGCCTAAAGTGTATGTATTAGTAATTAACTGCCTATTTTACTGGTATAGAATGAGATTATATTACAGCCTTCTCTGAATTATTTATTTATCATTCTTTAAAAAAATTACTTTAGAAAACTCCCACCATTATGCTTGTTTCATAAGAGTCCGAATTATGAACAACATTGGCCATCTCTCTGAATTCCATCAGTTTGTGACAGAAATACATCTTAATGTTATTTAAATGCAGTTTTTTTTATATTTCATTAGTGATGGTATGTCTGAAAGGCTGCAGAATCCCAATATGAGAATAATGGGTAAAATATTCAAAAGTGCTTGACTCTCGATGAGTTTTAGGCTCCTATGCACATAAGCCACTTTTGAAAATGTGACTTAGGCTCTTAAATCGCTTAGGAACTTTTGAAAATTTTACCCAATGGCATTGTGCCTCAAGGGTCAAACCTAAATGACTTGTCTTTGAAGTGTGGAATATCTAAGGCTGTCTCTTAAAATATGATGAGATTCCTGCATATTTTGTGTTTGGTACCAGGTGCCTCAAGATGAATGGGGAGGGTACCCTGTTGGCGGTAAAGACGAGGAGATCCCCTGCAGGAGAATGAGAAGTGGGAGTTACATTAAAGCCATGGGAGATGAGGAAAGCGGAGATTCTGACACTAGCCCTAAAACATCACCAAAGGTAGCGGTTCGACCAGAGTCATTATTAAAATCCATTGGACAGAGACCACTTGGAGATCACCAAAAGTAAGCTTCACCAAACTTTGTCGCATATCTTACTGAAAGCCATAATGACTCAGGTCATTTTTTTATGATGTTTTGATGTGATTACAACAAACGGGTTTCATGAAATATATATATACACACAGCAAAAAATACAGCAATACTACTTTTATATCATCTATAACTTTTAGTTATCAACATGATGCTTTCCATATAGCAACTTTCCCATGTATCAAGTATATTGTATCACACTCATTTAAAAAACAGTATAACATGTTTTTCTGAGCATCCACAATGGGTGGTCTATCAAATAAGTAATGTACATATTATAATTGTCTAGATATGTATTTACATAATGGAGACAGACTTGTGCTTCTAGTAGGTTTTTATTTGTCTTTTTTTTTAATGTATCATTACAAAACTATACATTTAAGTATTTTTGAGAGGTAAATGTTCAAAGTGGCAGCATAGCTCCAACTCTGCAACTTCCATTAATGAGAATGGGCATGCCACATAGCTTCAGAATTCTGTGAGAAATGCACCAAGCGAAGAAATTGAGACTAAGACTGACTGACAATTTCACCTTTATCCACCAGCTGTGCTGTAGATGTTACCATATATGAAGTACCTTAGTGATGCACACTTTTATGATAATAATAGTAATAATAAAAAACCTCAACCAAAGTATAATCTGTTTAGCTTCATTAAATAACAGAATTTAGTTAACAGATTGGAGGAAAAATAATGTTCACAATACTAACAATAACCAGTGTCATGAAAGCAACATGGAATCTAAAATCTTGCTTCAGAAGACAGTTCTAAGAGTGTAGTGCTCTATTTATTTGTGCAACGTAAAGGACATTGTTTTCTTCTTAGAAATCAAAAATTACACGTGTTTAAATAAGATATATGTTATAAAGGGGAGCTTTTTATAATCCACTGTATTCATAATGCAGGAGTTTATCAATAGGTCATTGTGAAAACAGTCTATCGATTTTGCCATGTTTTGCAAATATACTGTACAAAACAAAAATATTAAAAACACAGAACAGTACTAATGCAGTATACTAGAAACGACGGAAATCAGTGGCAGATTTGCTGTTGATTTCAACTGCAGCAGGAGCAGGTTCATTTTAGCATTGTAGAAAATGATTAAAGGCTTATTTGTGGCTTTGCCACAAGCCCTGAGCCAAGGGCAGCACGTACGTGAACTGTTTCAGGACCAGACCATGAACAAGATTGTGACTGAGAGCCACTTTCTGATTCCTAGTTATCAACTTGCCCAGTACCAGGTACAGGTTATGTCCTCTGGTGCACCAGCTCAGCTGCATTTGTTGGCTTGTCCATCGTGATCAGGTAGCTTGTACAGAGAAGTAAGTAGGTACTTATACTCCTTACTCCCTTGTTCGGGTACATAAAATGGTTCAGAATTGAGCTCTACAAGAGCACTAATGTCTTTGACTCAAAAAAAAAACTGCACTGACATTTTAAGTGTAGACAAGTCCTAAGGCAGAGGTTTCTTTAAAATATTTAGGTGGCTAAAGAGGCAGGTAGGCTCCTCTAGTTGGTTTTTCAAAAGCTAGCATACCTTTAAATACCTTTAAAAATCTGTCCCTTAGTCTCTCATCTGACAGATGCATTTTTACCTTTTCTTTGAATAGTATTGTGATACACAAAGCAAACACTAGAATAGTGCAAATCCTACTGCTATAACATTGTGTGAAAAACTTACCAGTGTAATTTACTGTATTTAAGTAAAATATAATATACTAAAGCCTTCTGTGTTGGAGGCAGAAGCGGATTCAAATATCTCTCCTATTTCATGTTTGTTCCTTCTTGGAATAGTGTCAATGCTCATATTTGCCTTGGAAATTGTCTTAACTCCTTTTGTCAGGAGTGGAAAAATTCAACATATTTTGCTTTGTGGTTCAGTTTGCAAGGGGGCTGCCTGATATATAATCTGGGATCCTACATCAAAATATGGACTTTAGGAAGTAAATCACCAACTTTTTCAATTCAATCCACTGTTTGCTGGTAGAAAAGCATTTAACCTCAAGTTATAGATTTTCTGATCTTATTGGCAACAGTCATGCAGATGAATAATCATGTGGTGCTAGTGTTTTCCATTATGCTTTTGAAGCCACTCAAGAGAAACTTACCTTTGCAAACATGAAGAGTGAAGTGAAATGAGCTAGGTGAGGTAACAATAAAAATGACAATGTGTTGTGTTATACAGTATTTTGCCTACTTCTTCTCTAAATAACAGACTTTACTATAGCAATAGATCCTCCATATACATTGGATATATATGGTATGTGTTGTGATAGTTCATTTATGAATCTGACAGGTATTTAGGACAAATTATTTATTTGACTAACTACAAGAAATAACATTAAATAAGCACTGTATTGATTCTGCTATAATCTAGCCTGGCTGTATTCAGTATTCTGTATTCAGGAGAGACTCTCCTGTCTATGTGTGTGAGTGAGTCCATTGGAGTGAACAGGAAGTATGACATTGCATAGTGTCACTTTAAACATTTGAACTTCCTGCTGAAGCTTAATCCTTTATAGCCCAAGTATAACATAAGAATATAAGAACAAAAAAGAAATATGGGATTTTTTGTACTGGATCTGTTCTGCAACCATCTGCCTCTGACAGTGGCCAACACCCGAGGTTCCCAGGGTGGTGGCAGTTATGGTGAGTTTGAATATAGCATCCTTTTGATGAAATACTGCTTGGTAGGCATGCAGACAGGAAGCTTGCCTTTGGGTAGTCTTGTGAAGGATCATGCAGGGGCCAAATTTAATCCTGCTTCCATGCTATATTAATTAATGCACTATTTCACTATCACCCTTTGCAGCATGTAGCTGATCCATCCCTGTTTAAATTATTAAGTTTAAAACTTATTTTTTTAAAATATTTTCTGTATTTATTTTAGACATGGCTTCTTTAGAGGGTGGTGCTGAGGGAATAATTTCAGCTGAGGAGATGGGAAGAATAATTAGCAGCAGAAAAATTATGTTAATCTTGTATTTGCTCTTTTTATTAATCTTTGCTTTTATTCATCCTCCTGCCAGTAGAAGTCCAGCTGCACACTTCATTAGCAGCTTTCCAAGTTTCTGCAGTGAACTAGCAGCCAGCTAGGAGTCTCGGACGGTATGTCTATACGGGGACAAAAAACCCACAGCTCCCCCAGGTCAGCTGACTCGGGTTTGCAGGGCTGAGGCTCCGGGGCTGAAAAATTCCTGTGTAGATATTCAGGCTCAGGCTAGGGTTGCAGGGTCCCAGAGCTTGGTCTCCAGCCCAAGCCTGAACATCTACAAAGCAATTTTTAGCCTTGCAGCCCGAGGCCCAGAAGCCCAAGTTAGCTGACTCGGGCCATGCAGCGAGTTTTTTATCCCCATGTAGACCTACCCAAAGGGGTGAAAGCGGAGTTTACCAAGAACAGTTTGATGGCTTGTTCCAAAGCCTTCTCAAACTAACAGGGCAATTGCCAGGCCAATGGCATAGCTACTTTCTCTACTGTCATTCAGGAGATCTGGGTTAGACTGCTCCCTAGGTTGGGAGAGAATGCTTGAGGGGCAAAAGGCTTAGCCCCCGGGAAAAGAGATGTTTTGCAGTGCTGAAGAGCAAGCCATCTGGCTAATGGCTGGACATTGAAACTGGACAAATTCAGACTTAAAGTGAGAATAATTAGCCCTCGAAACAATTTACAAGGGCTGTGGTGGATTCTCCATCACTGTCAATTTTTACATCAAGATTGGATGTTTGTCTGAAAGATTTATTCTAAGCATTATTTTGGGGAAGTTAAGTGGCCTGTGCTATACAGGAGGTCAGACTAGATGATCACAATGATCCATTCTGGCCTTGGAATCCATGAACCTGTGAAGTAAAAAGTATCTTTTATGCCAGTGATATTCAATTAGATCTAGCCATGGACCAATTTGAGAATTTTATGACAAGAGGCAGGCCATTTTGCAGGCCATTTTTGCAGAAGGCTGGCAAAATAAAAAAAAAACTTCAGCTGCCAATACCTAAAGACTTTAATTACAACATAAGTATTACTTTTCTATCTTCCAACAAAGTTGATAAATCAACATTATTACCTGTGTTTGTGGCAATCTCTAATGGGGGAAGTGACATCGACGATCGCTGGCAAGTTTTGTGAAGAGTGATTTGTAGGAGGCCAGGGCAAGGCGCATGCATTGGTGAAGCTGCTCATCTATCAAATGATTGTGGTGGTGGTTTTTTATAATGTTCATGGTAGAAAATTCAGATTCGCAGAGGTACGTTGATCTGAACATCATTAAAAGATAGATGGCTAGATTCTAGCTATTCTGAAACTGGTCAGCCTATTGAGTCCAGAAATCACAAAGTTCCACTTTCTTTGAATTTTGTTTTGAAGGCATCTGAGCTCTGGAGCTTTACAATTTCTAATTGAAAGACACCTTTATCAATTGAATCAAGAATGTTCTTTGCATTAGAAGGGCAAGGTCCATCGGCAGAGCCAACAAACCACTCATGAACAAATAAAAGCAAATCCTTGGGAATTTTAAAATTCTCAAATCACATTTTAAAAATTTCAGTCAGATTGGGTAGGATTTCTTTCATTGTTTTTGTCGTCAGTTGTTTGCTTCATGTGTGTGTTCTCTGCGTGCTGCACTAGCTCTGGCCAGATAACCTGTACAGTGGGCTCCGATTGAACTGCCCAAGAAAACCACAGATTCTGTTCAGTAGCAAAGACACTCGGCCAGGTTTATTGTCAATAAAGCATGTTCCTAACTTCCTGGATCAATTACAATTACAGTGTACAATTACATTGTAATGGGCATACATGTGCTACAATAATACTAGTGCTACTTTCCATTCTCCTTGCAGCTGGACAAAGACACACCTTCTGTGACCCCTCTTTTGTATACTGTTACAAGCAAGTTACTTATTGCCCCTCTGACGTGGTTAGTTATCACTCTGTCTTGTACATGTTGGTTCAATGAAAACATCTCTTTCCATCAGCTGTTATC